GGAGTCAACTTATCCTAGAATCCTAGAATCATCACTATAGTGCTTTTCTTTGTTTGCATCTTTTGCACTTGTTTGCAATACAATCGTGAATCATCTCTCAACCGTCTTCTACAGGTCACTAAATTGCCTTTGTAAATACATGTTGATGCTGCTGTAATACATTCAATGCAGTGACAGTTGAAAAGACGCCCATAGAGTCTGCCTGGCAACTCATTCAACAGAGATGTGAGATGTGCATCTTGGGTAGCTGGCTAAATTGTGTTTTTTTTTTTAGTTCTTTCGAGAGCAACTTAGTTCAATTATTTGGATCCTTAAAAAGCACTCTGGTTTGTATTGAATTTCAGTGTCGCCTCTCTCCGGCCAGACTCGAGCATAAGCCTTCACAGTCAAACTCTGACAATTTATTACAATTATTTATAAAAAATAAAAAAATTAATCCCTTAACTGATTTTGAGTTACACAAATGTATTTATCTTCGATTTTAGATGCATCTAGGGAAAACAGGTTTCAATATTTTATAAAGATGAGTGGGCACTAAGAGCAATCATCCACCTCCTAAAGTCATGATGGTTGAAGTCTAATGGAACACATTAGATGTTTGATAGAATGAGTCTTAGTCCTTTGATACCTCTGCAAAAAATGATCCAAGAGGTCCTAATGGATTCTCTCAGTAAAATGTAGTTGTCATGGGAACAGCTGACTCACTTCATCCTCAGCAAGGGGGCTAGAGTTATACAGCTGATTGGTTGTATGTGTGCTATATACAGATTTTGTGGACATATTTTTGTTTTTTTTTAACAGTTTGTTTATTGAAATACTCTGTCACATTTTCCAAATCCAGAGGACATAACCTATCACACAACAGCAGGATTCTCCAGCATTGATTTCCAAACTGTGGCAAGTGATAAATGTACAGCTATTATCGACTGGCTTATATGATAACAACCTGAATGATTGTGCATTATTCAATTATTTTATCATTTTACCTGTAGGCCTAACTATTATCTTAAAGCTTTTGCTATAAGAAAAAAAAAATAGTTACCATGTACAAAACAATTATCCTAACTACAAGATGAAGAACGATATAATTCAAATTTATGTGCATAGCGCTTTTCATAATACATATCGTTTCAAAGCAGTTTTACAGAAAATACATAGGCCTATGTCTTACAATTTAGAGTGATCTGTTGTCAGAGGTGACTGTCCAAGATATTTCAGAAATGTAGCCTACATACAAATAACACTAACAATGTATTCATTTAAACAATGTATTGATTTAAGGCAGAAACAATGAGCTCATTGAAGTAATGAATACATGTTGTCAACAAAATTATATTGAAAATTTAGTTGCATGTTAATTCAGTTAGCTTCATCTGAGGTCCTAGCAGGAGTTGGGAGTCCTCCTCTTCACAGGTGCTGGCTGGAGCAATCGGTAACTAAGGGTATGTTTAAAGGTACAATATGTAAGATTTTTGCAGTAAAATATCCAAAAACCACTAGGCCAATGTTATATATTTTGTTTAGTTGATTACAATATCCCCAATGTTTCCAACTATTTGTAAATCGTGAGAAAATTGCGATTTTAACCAAGGAAACGGGACGTGTGAGCAGGGATGAGGAGTCGCCAGTCAATGGCGTCATTTCCGCGTTACCCTCGGTTTCCGCTCGTACTGAACCGGAAGACAATACAATGCTGAATAAAGTCGTAGTTTTTGTTATTTTTGGACCAAAATGTATTTTCGACGCTTCAAAACATTCTAACTAACCCACTGATGCCACATGGACTACTTTGATGATGTCTTTATTTCCTTTCTGGACAAGGACAGTATACCTTACATACATTTTCAATGGAGGGACAGAAAACTCTCGGACTAAATCTAAAATATCTTAAACTGTGTTCCGAAGATGAACGGAGGGCTTACGGGCTTGGAACGACATGAGGGTGAGTCATTAATGACATAATTTTCATACATTTTTGGGTGAACTAACCCTTTAATGCTTTGCGTCATCGATATACGCCTTTGTTATTGTAAGAGGTTAGCGACCCCTGGTGGCGAAAAATCCTACATATTGTACCTTTAAGGCGAATTATATACTAAAAATGGAAACTTTTTTACTTTTAATTTTTTTTTAAGATGGCAACTTTGTCAAAGCAATCCCCATTCACACGGATCCACAAAAACGACTTAAACGCTAGGTGTATTCTGCCAGGCCAGTTGGTGATGACATTTTGTAAAAAAACAAAACAAAAAAAAACACTAGGCCTATACAGACTGAACACATAATATGCATGATTCTTCACCATTTTCACAAATTTGTGTAATTTGTTGTTTACATGACGATAACGGTATCGTTTTCAAAAACTTGCACTTTGAAACTTTTCAAAAGTTTGTGTTTTCAGGCCCCCAAAATGCCATTGTCATGTAAATGACCGGCCAAAACGAAAGTTTTGGCCAGAAAAAAAGTTTTCTATTTTTAGTTGAAAACGTTGTTGTGTAAACGGCCCCTAAGATGACGACAGTTGCGTTTGTTTGAAAAAAGACAGCACAAGTAAGCGGTGTGATGACACGAGACATGAAAGTAGCGCCGGTTTCATTTAACCGGATGAGCGGACTGATATACAGCTTTGTCATGGACGATGGCGAAAATGAGGAAATATCAGAAAGCGAGCAGGTCTTTGCGGAACAAAAGTGGGTGTTTCTAAATTTGTGGGTGTTTTCACACTGGTGGGTGTTTATAAATCATGCAATGAAAATGATGCCCTTCTCCCGACTCCACCCCTAAGATCTACCCACACTGTGACGTGGGCAAATCAGGTAACGCGGTTCAAAACGCCCCTCTGTTTATGGCCTCGCCCCCGGATCTGGTGGTAACTCCTATTACCGTCTGCAGATACCTCTATTTGCAGAAAGCTGGATGACGCTGGCCAATCAGAATCAAGTATTCCAGAGCTGTGTAATAAATGAACATAAAAACATAACTCTAAAAACATGTATGGGGAAAACAAGTAATTATTGTGAGGTGATCCTGCCTATGAAATGTCAATTTGGCTTCTTTTTTCATCTTACCTTGATCTGTTATTGTGTTCATTTGCATTTTTACCTCCTGATGCTTACAGCAATACCCATGGCTATCTAAAAATCTAAGCATCAAAATGACAAGAGGGGCTCTCTTACCTGCAGGGTATCCAATTATCAGCTCAAACCTGAGAGAAATAACTTGCCTTCTAGAGAAACTGAACACTGCACAGCGCTGGCATAGTTATCCACTGCTTCATGCCATCCTCTCAGTGGCATTTCCTTTTTACCACAGGAAATACTGCCAGAAGCGGAACATCCAATAACAGCATTTAATTCAATTCGCTTCTAATGAGCGGGCACCCTGGTAAACTGAGTAATGAAACTTGAGTGAAGATTCAGGGCTAAAAGGGATAATTTCACACAGAGTTACTCATCTCATTTCAAACATAGTGCACCGAGGATAGCAGAGACCAGGGTACTTTTTAAACCCAAAATATAGTGACAGGGGCATCATTAGCCTGGCTAGAAGTGCGTCACTAGGAAATGCCCATGAATAATGACACACAGGGCAGACTTTGACATGCCAGTGAAACAAATTTCCCACAAGTATAGATGAGGAAAAATGTCTCACTCAAACTCTAGGGGTCCTCATTTATCAAAGTCATAGGGTACAACAATAATTTATTTCTATTATAAAGTAATAAACATTTATTTTTAATTTTTACAAATATAGCATGTTTTAGGAATAATGTGAACAACTGAGACAATGGATTGCATTGTTTACTTATATTTAATTTATATGTTAACTTGATGGTATAGCCACATTGGACAATTTAACCATCTGGTGCTCTTTGGTCTTTTTTGACCAAGATTTTTTTACTTCATCGGAATGGTACAAAACTTGGTAAAGGTTTTAGCACTTGCTATGTGATCACACACACAAACAAAAAGATTCATGGACATGATTCGAAAAGGTTAATCCTGAAAAAAAGAGTCACACTTTGACTCCTCACGGTCAAAAACAACCGCATTGGAAATGAATGGGAAACAAATTTCTAGTGGAAAATTTGGGTACTGTGCCCAAACAAAATCTTACTGAAAGCTCCTTTATTTGAGATATCAAGCTCAAATTTGGAACACAACTTGTTAAGATTTATGGCTATGAATTTCTTGCAGTTATAAAACATGTTTTGGATAATATATACTGTATGTTATATAAAAATTGAAAATAGTATTTTTTGTGCATTTTTCAAAACAATAAACGTAAACTTTTGTAAACTTTTTTTGGGTTCACCCTTTTCACTTAATAATCAGACAAGTGTCATCTTTAAAAAGAGACCAAACTTAAGTTTGTGCTCCAAAGCATTCAAGATTTATGACAGTTTAAGTTGGAAATGTCATTTTCAGGTCTCTGTTCAAAAATGGATTATAACTACTGCATAAAAATAATTTAGTACCAAAAAATACAAAATATAGTACATTCATTTCATTTAAATAATAATAATAAAAAAGGTTATTTTTGAAGAGCACCAGAGGGTTAATCCAGTAGTGACTTGCTCTGGTGTGTCCTGTATGTATTTATGGAAATTTGACAGCATGATGTGGAGCTGGCTGTGGTGCCTAACTAAACGCTTTTGGCTGTAATGGTAAATCACTCAGCATAACAGTTACGCATCTTATTTAGTGTTTGTTTGTGTTCAGGAGTGAAAGCATGGGTGTTGTCTACATGCGTGGCATATCCTGCTTTCAAAGGGCTGGCAGGTTGACAAGCGTTCAGTCACACCTGACTGGAAAGAAACCAAGCATATTGGATGAGCTTTGGACAACCATGGCTGTGCCTGAATGGTATTAGGCCTTTTTAAGCCTGCAAAAAATACTACAAAAAAATCAAATCAACAATTTATTAAAATCAATATTACAATTATTGCTTTAGTTTTTGCGATTTTTCTCTACAATATTTTATGCATCACCATCATTTAAAACAAAATGTTTAGATCCATTTAAAAAGCATTTTTTTGTTTTGTACTGTATAGCTGCTACATCTGAGATAGATTAGGATTCTCTTCATTAATTAAATGTTAAATTTGTTAACACATTCTTTTTTAAAGTCTGACCCCAATAGGATTCTGTGTAATAAACCAATTAATCAAGTACAAAAAAAAATAATAATAACACTGGCATTTCATAAAACAGTATAAAAGCGTAGAATTTGATCTGATTTACATCTCCCAAGTCATTAATGTTCACTTTAATTATGAACATACAGAACACACTCTTTGCTCTGTGTGCTTCTGTAAAAGTTAAAGAATTAATTTACATATTATAAATTCAGGACCATTTGCTGGTAGAATAACCCATTATATTACTTTCTCTTCCAAATTAAAAAAAGATGAGGAATCCTACATGACAGTGGCGAGGCTACATAAGGGCCAGGGTTAGTGGACTCTAATTTAAACACCTCTGATTGGCCATTGCGTTCAAGAAATCAACAGATATGTCTGTGATTGGTTGCATTACTCAATGATGTAAAAAAAAACATTGTAAATAGAGACCTTTGACACTCTCCAGAGCACAAACACAGATACGCACTGTATCGTTTGCCAAATCACCAATATGCTATTATTACAGAGAAAACCGATCGTAGACCAGCAGTTATTGGCAGCTTTTCCCTCTAAAAGCAATGAGAAGCAGCAGAAGTCAGTGGTTTGAGTGAGAAAATTCCCTCGGCCAGGGGAAGGGTAAGCCTTGCTCAGCCTTACACACACTCTGTCTATGATTATTTATCTCCGTTTACTGTTCCTATCCTGTTCCACTGGATATTTTATTTATGTTATGATTTTGTTGTTTTCATGAAACTGTTGGCTGAAAATATATCACATTTAACTAAACTTGATTGTCAAACTATTTTTTAAATTGAGAGTAGGGATTGGTCCACCCTATTTCACCAAGGTCCGCTCACTTTTAAATTTCTGGCCTCGCCACTGCTACATGGTCAATGTTGTTGGACTCCTGGTTTCAAGTTAGCAGAACTAGAAAAAAAATATTGAAAGACACTTGTTACTTACATTATTCTACTGGACGTAAGATGATTGGTTTATAAAAAAATATAAAATACATAAGCCAAAACATATTTTTCTGACCTTCCAGCGATTACCACATTCATTGCACAGCACAAAGGTGGTCATTGGTTCATCAGCACTCCGAGTTTGCACCTGTGAAGGTTTAAAACATTACTCAGTATATTTATTTTCACAACAAATGAAAGAACTTTGTATACTAGGTTCATATGCACTATAAATATCTACAGCTAAAAATCCAGTAATATTAGAAAATGCTGTTTCATCGATGTACCTGGTTGTAGGTGCAGTTTTTCTTCCTGCACTTGCCACACTGCAGCATGTCAGTTGAGGTTCCTCCAGTCTTTGCCATCTGATGTTCTCGGATGGCCTCCTGGGTCAACACGTTCCTCAACTGTTTCAGTTCATCACTAGCCATTTCCTACAACAGCAAGAACATAGTGTTCATTTATAGACAGCAGATTGGCTTCTGATATACTGCATCATCTTTCTGGGTAGAATATATTTGTTTGACAACAGTTCATTTCAAAGGCTAAGTTTTTGCACTGTAGACAAACAAATGTTCCAGTTAAAACAATCGAACATCTAATATCTAATAATGTAATCCTTATTTGAAACATAACTATCAGAACATTTTGGGCAAATGGGGTAAGAAAAATTTACTTGCACTACCATTCAAAAGGGTCAGTAAGATTATTTGTACAAGGAATTAATACATATAATCAGTAAGAATGCATTAAATTGATCAAATCGCGACAGTAAATACTTAAATTTATTTTGAACTTTCTATTTACCCTTAAAAACATGATGGTTTTCACAAAAATATAAAGCAGCACAACTGCTTTCAACATTGATGATAAAAAAGAAATCTTGAGCACCAAATCAGATATTAGAATGTCATTTCTGATGGATCATGTGACACTGAAGAGTTGAGTAATGATGCTGAAAATTCAGCTTTGCCATCACAGGGATAAATTACATTTGACAAATTATTCAAAAAGAAAATAGTTATTTTATATTGTAATAATATTTTACAATATTACTGTTTGTACTGTATTTTTAATGCATTTTCAAATAAAATGCAGCATTGGTGAGACTTATATTTATTATTTTGTTATTTATTATTTATAAATTGAAATTAATTAAGAGGTCCAAAATGTGCAATCTACCTCAGCAGTCATGGTGGCCATGCGGCTCAACTCGATGGCTCCAGCTAAGACATTTTTACGGAGATTGGGATTTTTGGGATCCTTCAGGTTACTTATGCGGCTGCGGACTCTGTTCTTGTATTTCATGTCTGTGGCTCTTATCTCCTGGTAGATATGTAGGCAGAGGAGGACAGTTAAGGATATCTACTTTTGAATTTTAAGAAATGGTTTCAAAAGGATTCAACACTAATTTTCAAAGCAATTGTCAACCAATAATGTCCACCAAGGATATAATCCTCGATTTCAGCTGCCATGCCCTCACAGTTTGTCCCATAGTCTTTGTAGTCATCTAATAGGAAAGAAAAGCATATTGTGAGCATCATCTCCACAATAATGAGTATCAAAACGATATATGTCAGTATGTCTGTGATGTATGTCAGACTCTGTGTGGGTGTCAAGTGTTTGTTTTGCGTACCATCTGTACGTAGTGCGGCGGTCAGCATTTCAATGCATTTGTCCCTGATGGAATCCCCGGTTTGCAGACGAGGAGATAACGGACCCACACTGGAGCTAAGCGACGGAGAGAGGGGGCTTGTGGGTGTTGTGGGTGTTTTGGGGGTCTCTGGTTTACTCTTGCTGTATGGGAAAAACAAAAAGCAGGCGTCTTTAATGACCACGTGACAATTATTTAAAGATAGAATGTTCCAACATCCCAACCGAATCATTGATTACTGCTGTCTGTGAACATTATTTTCATAATTTGTTAGTCATGATTTGGATGACTTTGGGATTTTGTGTAGTATTATAACTGGAATATGAAGCAGCCAAAAGCATGAGAGTGAGAACATAATGCCACAATAACGCCATATGGCATGCTGGTCACATCTAAATGAGTAAATAATAAAAAACAGTAAAGTATAGTTCTTGCCTTTCACTAGATTTCTTGGCCTGGGGTGAGTTGCCAGACCTTGAGTTAGTAGAATCTCTCCTGGAGAAATAACACATGAGAGTTAATAGTATGCATTCTGTGATGAACATGAAAGTCATGCATTTATCTTTGTAAAAGATCAGTAGGTTTGAATTAGGGATGTGCGAGACTAGTCAACTAAATGGTATTGCTCCTAGTCGACATTGGAAATACTAGTTGTTTACATACATTTTTTTGTGCATGTTTATGGTTTGCTTTATTTGTTTTTACAAAGGCTACATTCAAATGACTCGCATTAGTGTTACATTTTTAAAACACATTATTTTGAAAAGGTTACATCCTAAGCGGATAACAAAATCATATTTTACCTCAGAGCTTTCATTCATTCACTTTTTTTTAAATGTCCATTTGGAAAGATGAGCAAGGTAATGGAGTATTTTGACTTAGCCTACACAAAACTGTTCCGTTTTATTCTATTTCATATAACAATTAAGCTTGCTTACAGGCTTGTTTTACTACAGGTTATGAGGGTCTATATACTGGTTTGAAATTTGAATCCAATTTAAAGGAGAAACATTATAAATGAAACTTAGGCTACTTAACAACAACAGATCCTATATCAATATCCTAACAAATGTCATACATGACTTATGTTAACTAACATCTATTTGAGAAATTCAGTTTATAATAGGCTATTAAGTTTGTATTTATTGGTCCTCCACTACCTGTTGATTCAGTAGATTTTAATAAATATCAATATTGGCTAACGTTAAACACTTATGTTTAGTGTACAATGATCCAAATGCAAGGCAAGCACATCGCATATATATGACCTTTTTTTTCCAGCAGCATTCAGTATGGGATTTGACTCAGATTATATAGGTTATTTCAAATTGATATTCATATATAGACTTTTTTTTTACTATCTTCTGGGGGTTTGTTAGACTAGTCCACCAGTTGGTAATAAAATTTCCTTTTAAACGTTAATGAAATTGGAACACATCGCTATGTTGGATACTTTAATATTTCATTGCAAGACCAACTGCATTACTATATAACAAGTTACCTCTCCAATTTAGTTTCACTCAATTGTCGTTTCAAAAGGTGATGGCTTGACTTGGAGTCGGTAGAGTCCTTACTGCGGTAAAAGAGCGAAACACAAATGCCTGATTGTCAGTAATCATTTTATGATCTTTCTAAATGTTTTTTATTTTTTTATTTTAGTAATGCATGAGCAGACCTGTCTCTCCGTCCTTCCATGCTCGGCTTTCTAGGAGGGAGCTTTTTGGAATCTGTGGAGTCCTTTCTAGGAATAAAAGCAGAGTAGGTTGTTTTAATGAGCAAAGAATCCACAAGTCTTGCAAATTGCCACCATCCTCAAACTCCCAAGACAAAATAACAACAATGCATGCACTTCTGCTGCCCTCTGCCTACATTCTGTTGCAAAACATCAATTCAAACCTCTCAATCTTGAGCTTCATTGACGGTCGTTTAAGTGGTTTACTGTCTCTTGTGTCTTTTCTGAGAAAAAAAAAAATCATCTCAGCACTTTGGGATGGCGACAAATTATCACCACAAGCCATGAAAAGACTTCATCCGAAATGAATGATGGAGATAGTTCACTCAAAAATGTCAATTCTGTCATTCTAGTCATTCCAAACCTGTGTGACTTTCTTTGAATATATAAGTCATTTGGAAGACTTTTATGAAGCATGAAAGCAGTGTTCAAGATTTTTCTTTTGTGTTCCACAGAAGAAAGTAAGTCATACAGGTTTGAAACAACATGAGGGTAAATGATGCCAAAAGTATTATTTTTGGGAGAACCATCCCTTTAAATTAATAACACCAATGGTTTAGTTAAGACGATACACTGTGCAACTTTTAAGTATAATTTCACTCAACAATGGTGTTTTTCAAGGGTTAGTATTCATCGTTTCAGACCTATCTTTCTCATTGTGTTCAGACATCCGTCGCTTCGGGTCTGATGTGTCTTTTCTATAGTAAAACAGTTGTAGTTATTCTTCAGATGGGGAAGTAATTAAGTAAAAACACAGGCACACAGCTATTCATGTCAACATGCTTTTCATTTCCTCTGTCCCTAACCTTTCTTTCTCTTTGTCTTTATTTGTGTCTAACGCGGGACGTTTTGTAGGTGTAGGTTGAAGATGGAGAGGAACAGGAGGGAGAGGAGCACTGGGATCCGCTGTTTCTTTTCTAAGCAAAGAAAGTCACTGATTATTTATGAGACAAACAACACTGCGCTTTGTTAGAACACTGTGTTGCGCTAAAACAAAACGACTGAAAGTACTTTGTTTACTCAAAAAGACAACACGCCAAGCCCTAACCTTTCTTTCTTCATCTCTCGTTTCTGAGGAGGATGTAGATGGAAAGGTAAAGGAGGAAGAGGTCCATTCGGATCAATTGCTTTCTTTGCCCTAGGCAACAAATATACAATTTTAATGTGGCATTAAAATGAGAACAAGGGGAAAAACTTGCGCTTGTGGCAATACTAGGTCATCTAGTGAACTAGAAATAATAATTTACAATTTTCTTCCAATTGAATACTGAATCATTAAGAGCCACCCCCACTATTTTACAAAATAAAACAAACAAAAACCAAACTAAAGTAATAATATTATATTATATAATAGTGTGCTCTTGTCTTCACTAAAAAAAACCTCTTTATCAAAAAAGAGGGCCATGAACTTGAACTGAAAAGTGTTCAGACCTTTCTCTGGGCTCCTCTAGTGATGGATGTTTGGGAGGAGGAGGAGGAGGAGGAAGAGAAAGGATAGGAGCAGGAGGAGGTAAAGTTTCAGAAGGATCTCTCCTATGAAAATAGATATTTAGAGGTGACCCCCTATGTTGGATATTTACTAAATTTTTTATAAATAATACAAATTATGAACACATTCTCCTGAGAGTAATCCCTGACCTTTCTTTCTTCACCTCTGATGAGCGCTTAGGGATAGGAATAGGAATAGGAGGAGGAGGAAGTGGAGGATGAGAGTGATTATGAAGAGGAAAAAGAAGTTCATGTGTGTCTCTCCTGCAAAAAAAAAACAAAAAAAAAACAGCCTCACTGCAGTGTTGATTCAACATGAAAGCAGATATTTTCACGTCACACACTGCATGAACTTCAAGCACAATGTCTAACCGTTCTTTCTTTCCATCTGAGAAGGGACGTTTAGTAGAATGAGACGGAAGAGGAAGAGATTGTAAGGAACCCAGAGTGTCTTTTCTGTGTAAGAAACGTAAACATCCAAATTCAGCATTTGAACTCCACATACACTACCATTCAAAAATTTGGGGTCATTAAGATTTTTTTATGTTTTTGTATGGGATTTATTCCTGTGATGAATTTTCAGCATCATTACTACAGTCTTCAGTGCCGCATGATCCTTCAGAAATCATTTTAATATGCTGATTTGGTTTTCAAGAAACATTTCTCATTACTATCAATGTAGAAAACAGTGGTGCAGCTTAATATTTTTGTGGGCACTTTTTATTGAGGATTCTTTGATGAATAGAAAGTTCAAAAGAACAGCATGTATTTGAAACAAATCTTTTGTAATATTATAGATGTCTGTCTTTAATGTCACTTTTGATCACATTTATATTTCCATGCTGAATTCAAGTTTTCATTTAAAAAAAAAAAAAGTACTGAACCCAAACTTTTGAAAGGTAGTGTATTTTTGTTTTTGCTGTATCAGCTATCACTGTAGATAGCTTTATGACTAATAGACTGCATCAGAAAATAAAACTTTTCACACTACAATGACGTGTTCTTAACTAACACATGTCCAAACACAAGCATAAGGCTCTGACCTCTCTTTCTTTACATCTACTGATGAGCGTCTTAGAGGAGGGTGAGAAATGATTGAAGCAGGAGGGAAAAAATCAACGGGAGCATCTTTCCTAAACAAAAGTAAACATTCATCTTACATTGCAACTCTGCTTGCCCAGCATACAAGTGGGAAAAGTCAAACAAAATTATGTCAACAGGCTTGTGCACCACTCAGATTTGAGAATATGTTAAGGATATTCCTGAATTTTAATTGAGGTAGCAAACATGATGTAGAATTGTAATTACAATTTTAATTTAAGGATTATATAAATGATTATGTAGAGTAGTTTTTAAACTATAACATGTTGGACATTTTGTTGTGCTGTTGAGAATTAATTTTTTAATTTTTTAATTTTATTGTTTTGATGTTTGAGTATTTAACTTTGAGTTTATCTGATTAATGTAAAACATATATATTTTAGAATTCTGGAGGGGAAACAGGCATAATTAGTCCAAAAAATTAATAATGAAATTAACCATTTTTGTTTTGTTCCAAAAATAATGAAATTCCTCCATTGTGTGACTATGTAAATACATTCAGTAAATTCCACTTTCTGTCCAATTCAAACTGAATTCAATCAACATGAATTGAAAGTCTATTCTTAAATTCAAATTTTTGCTTAACACTATGACCAGAAAAACTACAATGTTAACGTTCAGAAAAAATGCCATTCATGCAACTGTCATGACCTTGTTAGTTTGTGACATTTTAAACTTTCCTGAATAATCAGAAATGAGTTTGAAACGCTGATACTTTCACCATAATAATATGGCTTCAAGTTTTTTTTTTTTTTTTTTTTTTATGTAGTACAAGTGGTTCCTCCTAATGACAGTCACATGCTTCAACCGCATGCACAAGCCCTAACCTCTCCCTCTTCACTTCCCCAGATGGAGGAGGACACTTGGGGGGCGGAGATGAATGCGTCTTTCTGGAGGGAAGATGATCACTGTTCAATGCATCTTTCCTAAACAGAATACACGTAAAAATTGAATGGCATAGTTTGGGATGAGCAGAGGGGCTTTATACAGCAGTGGGCCTTCTCACCTCTCTAGCTCCTTTTTATTGTTAATAGATTGTTTCTCTTTTTTCGGGTCACTTTCTTGTTTTCTGTTCCTGAGCTCTGCATCTCGTTTCTCTCTTCTGTGTTTTTCATCGAGTTTCTTGTTGGAGTCTAAGTCTGGTTTAATTTCCGTTGTCGATCTTCGTGGACTGACGAGATAAACAGGTTATACTTCATAACGCAAACCACTTTGCTAGCTTCAACCTCTGCGTAAATCAATGTTAGTAACAAAATAGGCCACTCTTGTCTGCTTTTAGGAAGAGGTTCCTAAAGCTTTCAATTACACTGTACAAAAGCTGTGTCTGGAATACTTCCATGTTTTACCCTGTTATTAGCAAACATACCTGGACTCTCTCTCAGGAGAAGTCCTGTTGGGTGACCCTGATGCCTTGCTTGGATGATCGCCATTCTTCACCTCATTTGTCCTCTCAGACTTTTGATTTTTGTCAGCTGATTCTGACAAAGACAAAAGGCATACAACTTAACATATTAAGCCAGACTATGTTATACTGCATATGTGAATAACCTATTAGGTATTATGAAACTTTTTTAAATGGTATTTGGAGTCAATTTGATCTGTATCTGATTTTAAGATTTTTTTCATTAACATATTACCCTTACCTAAAAGCTTCTTCCAGTTTTTGATAAGAATCTTTGCCAAGTTGACAACATCCTCATCTGTGCAATGTTTCCTTATTCCGTTCACAGACATGCCGATTCTTGTATCCTGGAACAAAGTAAATATTAAATGTTAGACAAACAAAAGCAAGAGATATAAGACAACCAATGATGACATTAACAAGAACAGCTGCATTTATGCACAGATCTATCTGATGTATCATATCTGTTTTATCATTCATCAGTTTAATTATAAATCTCTCCATATTACTCAAACATTGATATTTTATTTGCATTGTCCATATTGATTGCATTGTGTGTGTCTATATGGCTATTTGTGATACCTTTGATTTGCAGCTATATTTTCCTACAGGGATCAATAATGTATGTCAAATTCAATACAATTGATCCAACAGACATACCTGAAGAAGCTTCAGTGTCATGTTGAAATTTTTCAATTCTCTCAGAAGATCTAGAGCTCCATCCTACACAGACAGGGAGATTAACAATTATTTAATTACTTAGGTAACTGTTATGATTTTTCTTAATATTTTCATGTATTTTACTTATTTTGTACAAATCACTGTTACTTTTACTGTTCTCAGACATTTGGCCTGCAACACTATACAAAAATTACAAATGAAATAAATTCATACTGGTTTGAAACAACATGAGGGTGGGTGAAATATGGCAGAAGTTTCATTTTCATTTTTGGGTGAACTATCCCTTTAAATGCTGTGCTCATGCGCGTAAAACTATTCGAGTCGGCCAAAACACACACCGCCTTCTCGACCTTGTGCCATTTACTACGAGGAATACAGTACATACATGCTGTTAAGTATTAACAAAAACCTGCATACAACGTCAACTAAACTGTCTATAATGACCAACTTTTGTCTTTGTTCTTGTTGCTGCCCTGAATAAATCTAAAGTAAATCTGCTCAATCCTCAGCCAACACCTGTTGTCACTCGCATATGCGTCTCTGTAGTCCTATTACACACACACACACACACACACATTATGTCTCTCTCACTTGCAACCAAATTACAGAACGCTTGTGTACGCCTGTATCTTAATCAAGCAGAATTAAAACGCGCAAACGCACATGCAAAAAAAGTTTAAACTAGTTATTCATAAGCAGCATGCGCAGTGATCGCACAAACAAACAGCGTGAAGCGTTGCGTCAAAATTAGGATCTCACCATGTTATTTCTAGACACCATCTTGTCTAGTTTTTTAGCAATCCGCAACAGGTCCTCCTCTCGTGACATTGTGTGCGCATTAATACGCTGTAAGTGAAAATGAGATGTGTTTATAATACGTTATGTCATATAAATCTTATTAATTCAGCGAAATGTACGAAGTTTTGTTCCCACGCATAAGTTGCTCCTGCACGGTCAGTTGAGTCGGGGGGGCGGGGCCTTCGGGACAGTCGGAGTTGTCAATCAATTTCATTTGGATTTATGACAATTCCTAATTATAGATGTTGCCAGGGGGCGATAAAAGTTCTCTTTGATTTTTAGAAGGGACACACCATGAACTTTGTAACTTGGGTCTATTGTATTTTATGTCTGTTTTTGAATATATATATATTTTTTCTCGATTAAAGGGATAGTTCACCCAAAAATGAAAATTCTGTCATTTACTCACCCTCAAGTTGTTTCAAATCTGTATAAAATTCTTTCTTCTGCTGAACACAAAATAAAGATATCGACTTCCATGGCATTTTTTCCATACTAACTTGTAGTCTGTTATTTAATGTTCATTGAGTAACTTCAATTTCACTCACGTTTGTCTGGACATTTGCAAGCATAGGCTACCTCAAAATCATCAGACCGTTCGTGGTAAATAAGAGACAAGTTCCGAGGCATTTGGTTCAATAGACTACGCAGTACGCAATACAAACTCGACAGGTTTACAGTTAAGCAGCAGATGGCAACACTGTGTCATATATAATGTCCTCTGACGGTTGCATCTGCTGTGGAAGAGCAGTAACGAACTGCAAATATAAATGACTAAAGAAATAGTTTACTCACAAATTATTATCATTTACTCAACCTCATGTTATCCCATGACTTTTTGATTGATTGATTGATTGATTGATTCATTGATGTCTTTATTTTGATCATAAAATAATTAAAAAATCAGAGAGAAAAAAAAGAATGGTAAAAAAACAGATGAACAACAAAATAACTCCATACTTTCCAGTAAAAAAAAACCCGTATATTTACATGTATAAAAAGGAGGAAGAAGTAAAACTTATGTACTCCTACCCCTTTGACTTACTTTCTTCTTTGGAACATATTGGAGATTGGCAGAATGTTAGGGACTGACAGTGTTGTTAACCATTCACTTTCATGGCATCTTTTAAATAAAAATTGGAAGACTGTCAGTCAACATTCTCCTTTTGATGAATTAACATTGTATTTCCTGTGGTAATATAGAGAATGTTCACAGACACATAAGCTTTAAACAACCTGGAATGTAGGCACTATTTGGCTTTATTTTGCAGGTTGTGGGAGGGTGATATTGGATTTTCATAAACCCTCCTACACTTTTCATCACACTCTTTCCATAGGAAAATTGTTATGTGGGGCCTGGATGTCTTATTGTTATTGTTAATATGCAGAGCATGTTTGAGAGGCTAAAATAAAGCTCAATGTCAATCCCTTAGGGATGACCTCAGATGACATCTTTCCTAAAATAACAGCAAATATGTTGTGGCACCCCCACCCCCCACCAAAACTCTGCACAAAATGCACCTTCATCGTAACACCATGCAACATTTCATTCCGTCGTATATGCAAATATTCATCACTTCCTCTTCCCTACCTTGCAAGTGTGTGCTTTCTTCGATGTCTTCACCCTAAATAACCTCTATGGCTTCAATGGGTGCATAAATTATATGAAATTATCAGCATACGTTTAAAATGTGCTGAATTACAGCAGATTTCTGGGAAACAGATATATCATTACCCTTTTCAAGCACCCCACATCAGTCAGCAACTGCAACCAGTTCTCAACTGCAACAGACAGACAACAAGTAGAATTTGCCTGGAAGGCCCGGTTTTCAAACCACAGAGAAAAAAAAACGAGAAAGAAAGAAGAAACTTGAAAAATGGTTTTCCTTTTGATGACCTCCCGCTTCAATTTTACCACAAAATAATGAATCAACCAGTACCCACCTACAGTGTCTTCTCAGGGAGTTTGCGGTGTCTCTACCAATTATAGACACAAGACGCCGGACTCCGGCAATTATGGAGAGTCTGAGATGACATCAGACTAGAAAATGAATGATTTCACCGTGCTTCAGTTTTTTTAGGCGCAGAGAGCCCCTGTAATAAAACTCAAAGATGCTAGGCTGGATTGCCACGGCATGCACACCAGCCTCTGGTTAAGGGTGTATTTATAAAATCTCAGCAATAGAACTTTTTTTTTTTGTTGTTGGTTAAGTTGGATAGTTCCTAGCATATCTGTGTGGCAACATTTTTGAAGGAACTGATATTTGCTGAGGATCTGAGGTGCTCACACGTCAGGAGAACTAGTGCTTTGTATACAGTATGCCTGGTCGAAACCACAAAGGTGTGTTTGTCATAACTCTGAGAAAAGACAGATATTAACATGTTTCATTCAACATAATTAGTCTGATGTAGCTCAGATGCTTAAACAATGACCCAAATTTCCAGACACTGGTTCGCTACGACATGTGTCTATGCAATTAAATGCCTTTTAACTAAAGATAACTCATTCATGGAAGTGGTCACAGACATCAATTGCTTCAAAAAAGGAACTTAGTATCACACTCAGATTCCTGCAATTGACAATAAGTGCCTTTGTGATACCACAGGCGCTGAGCTCCATAACAAGATAGTTAAAGGCAGAAGTGTGTTAGTGTGTAAATCCCCTCTTACTCTCATTTCCCTTCCTATCTGCCATTAATCCTTTAGTGAGAACATCCACATCCCCTTACATAGCATATTTCTTGCTGCCAAATTCAGGACAGTTTTTGCCACCTACAAACCCAGTTTCACTTATTTCTTAAAGGGATACTTCAGGATTTAGCATTAAGCTTTGTATTAGTAGAAAAGCATGTAGTATTTTCGAATTACCATGCTTTCCACCCTCATATCCCCCTGAGACGAGAGATTTATGTATTTTTTGTCTGGAAAACATCCTCCGATGAAGCAAAAATCGTCATTTTGCGTCATCGGAGGATTTTTTGGCCAGAGGCTAAAGACTACAGTCAGTAGTAGGGGGTGTCCCGCATGTTCTCAACCCGCCCATAGAGGGTGGGATCTCACTCACAGAATGTACACACAGTGTCAGACATCTTTTTTGGAAGCTAAGCTAGCAGGCTCTTTTACTGTGGAGAAAGCTGAGTAGTAGGGGTTACCATCCTCTTTTTCCCGGACATGTCCGGCCGTCGATGTCCGGGATTCAGCTTTTGCTTTCTGCAGTCGCCATTCATTGTTTACATGCACACCTTTTGTTTCAATCTAACTGAATTCATTCCGACTGGTGAATCTGAATGTAGTGTTTACATGAGCGCTAAACAAGTGATCGGTTGATGTGCGTTTTAACATTGCTAAGAAAATTCCCGCTCCTCCGTGAGAGATACGAGACCGGTGCGTCTCACAGGTGTCGGCCGCTCATCGGTAATCACGCCACCGGCCTCGCGCAGTTCTCCCACGGGCCGCGGCCCTAGCCTCGTCCTGCTCGCCACAGTAAACATAATGAATGGCGACTGTAGAACGCAAAAGCCGAATCCCAGACATTTTGGGCGATCTTGAAACACATTTTCGGGCAGACTCATCACGGAGACTCACTAGTAGCCTAGACTTGTTGTTTAACTACTGCGCTCTGTTACCGGTAGGCGTGGCCTCCTAGGGCAGCGAAGGAAGTGCATTCTGGGAGTTGTTGTCTTTCATCCACAAAAGCCAAAAATACATTTTCTGTCTTTTCTCGGTCTTTTAAATACACATTCATCTTTCCAGAGTTGAAGTCGCCCTTTTACCATTTTAAAGAATATTAATCAGCTTGAGAGTTGCAATGAGGTTAAATCTTTTAAACTGGCATTGAAAAAAAAAACTTGTCTTGTTTTAAACATATTGAATGTTGCATTTTAAAAAGATATTTATTTTATTTTTGATAAACACCTTAATTGCTGTTCAAAAGTTTGTGGTCATTTTCTTTTAAAGAACTACAATTTTCCTCAGCAAATATACATTAAATTGATCAAAAGTGACAATAAGATATTTATAATGTTACAAAAGATTTATATTTTAAATACATATACTGCAAAGAATCCTGAACAAAAAAAATGTATCACAACATTGAAACAAATCAACATATTTGAATGATTTTTGAATCATCATTGTCACGGATGGAACAGGAGTCAGACAGGTAGTAAGTGAAATAGTGTTGATTTACAGGTTGCAGATCCAGACAGAGATATGGTGAGTATGCAAGCAGATGATATTCAGGATGGAACTTAGCTGAAGGATAACCAGAGTCTTTGTTTACAGATGCGGATGGAGAGACACTGGGAACAGGCTGATGACCGGAGACTGGAGACTGAACTTCCGTGTGAAGGTTAGCAGGTGATCGATGGATGGAACTCAGGTAGGTAGCGGGTAAGTTGCAGGTAAGTAGCGTGATAGTCTGTAGTGTCATGTAGAGACGAGACAATGAGTGTGTGAAGAGGAGTTGAATATATAGGGCGGTGAACTGATGAGGTGCAGGTGATGGTGATTAAAACTCAGGGGATTGTGAACGAGTGGGAGGAGTGAGTGAAGCTGGTGGAATCCTGACAGTACTCCCCTCCTCCGAGGCGGCTCTCGACGCCTGAGACGAGGGACGAAGATGGCGACGAGGTCTACCACGACCCCTGGGAGCGGGGCGATCAAGATGGTCGACGTGAAACTGAGTGAGGAGATCTGGATCCAGGATATCATCGCGAGGAACCCACGACCGTTCCTCTGGACCATAATCCTCCCAGTCAACCAGATATTCCAGCCGAGGACCTCGTCGCTGTGAGTCCATGATGGTGCGGACTCGGCAGATGGGCTCTTGCTCGACTGGAACCGGAGGAGGAGGTACGTCCTCTGGGACGGTTTCTGTGGGAGGAGAAGTGACAGGTTCAATGAAGGGCTTCAACAGTGACACATGAAAAGATGGTGAAATCCTCTATTGTGGAGGAAGGTCAAGCCTGTAGGTGACTTCGTTCAGCTGCCTCTGCACGGTGAAAGGACCGATGTATCGAGGACTCAGCTTACGGCAGGGCAGGCGGAGGCGGATGTCCCTGGTCGAAAGCCACACCTTTTGTCCAGGGTGGTACTGATGAGGTTCAACACGACGACAATCCGCTTGGTCCTTGTGCCTCCGCACTGCCTGCTGGAGGTGCACGTGATACGAGTCCCATACCCTCTCGCTC